TTTGTGGGTTCTCTTTCATAGTTTCCCCCAAATACCTAGACGAGGCCTGGCTCCTAGTAGCCGTGAACGAAACGCTCACTGAAGGGATGTGTTAGATCCCATGGGCGTGAGCTTCCGTGTGGTTCCTTCCTATGGAACCACAGAAGGCGTCCAAAACCCAGCTTAGCCTCCTAGAAAACCATTAAGCTCTGAATCTGAGAACAAATCTGTCTTTGTAATTCCCCTGGGTCACGAGTTTTGCCCTTTTGGTTTAATTTAATACCTGATTATATCGCCTCAATCATCTGTGCATTTGATGGTGTATCACTCATTATGGGTAGTTACAGAATTTTCATAATTAATCTTTAATTGCAATACTTGAATAGCATTTCCCGTGAGAAATAATTTACAGATTAAACCCAATCTCACCTTTGATAATCATCACGGGTCTGACGAATGCGGGTGAAGGCCTTGCGTGGCGGGGGCTCTCTCTAATGACAACTCGTTGATTTCCTAATCAGCAAAGGTTAAGTAGCATTTTTGCTCGCAGACCTACAATTTAAACTTACAACATTTGTCATCGGGAAAGATTCCTATAGAGCCCATGAGTTGAACTCCAATAATTATCGCGAGTTCTAGTGCATGCACATCTTTTGCATAATATATAACGACCATTTTCAGCACAAGAGATTTTTTTCATACCGACTCCATCAGTAAAAGTACTTTCCAGCTCACTGGCCAGTCTAATAAATCAGGGGTCATCGAAGTAAGAAAAGAGCATAATTTATTCCGTTTTTCTTTCAAGAGAGAGGAATGGCGGCCCACTTACCTGCTTTTTAGATTAAGAAGAGAGAGTGCAAAACTTTATTTAATGGAGGCCACAAATACAGATTAGGGCACAGCCGTATGTTACGGTCAATTAAGAGAGGGAGGAGGGAAAGTCAGGCAGCCGTGCAGCGAAGGGACAGGAAGAGGAGATTTAGGGGAAATTGAGAGTAATTTACTGAAATATGGAGACGGAGACATATACGCACAGAGGGAGAGGTTGTACATCACAGGGCAGAGTAATTTAGAGCTGGAAGAAATGAGAGACATCACCTAGTTCCACCCCCTTTTTTTATGGGTAGGAAACATTGATGCTGAGAGAAACTAAGGTGTGATGAAAGCCACACAGCCAAGCAGACAGTCAACAGTCCCGATGGGGGGAGAGGTAAACACAAAGGCAGGAAGAAAGCCTGGTAAGTGCAGAAGCTCAGGAAGACCCAGGACCAGAAAGAATCAAAGACAGGGAGGCAGAGAAGCAGAAAAGGCTGCCCCCTCCAACCCTTCCTGGAACGAGGCCTGCATCCGCGAATAAGTGTACGAACATCTGTCTAAATGTTTGCTTTAATAAGAGTAAAAGTATGATCTCATCTAGATTTATTTGCTCTGCCAATTGGCCCTTTATAAATCTCTGATTTTTTTTTTTTTTGGGGGGGGGTTATATTCACGTTTGCTTAGAGCCTTTTAACAATCTCTTCTTCAAACTCTCAACTATCGCTGAGACCCATTAAATATGAATTATTTCCTAATTAAATGCATCCCAGATAGATTGAAAGAACAGAATGTTAAGAGAAGTGAGATCATAAAAGTGCTGGAAGAAAATGTAGCTGGATAATTGTATTATTTTGGATTCGAGACGTTCTTTCTAAGTCTAACACCAGAGGCAGAAACCCTACACATAAAATAGATGGATGTGACTACATGAACATTCAGAATTTTCATGGGGAAAAAGAAACATTATATACAAATTAACAGACACAAACCAGAAGGAGGTAGTTGTCAAATTTTACAACAAAGAGGTAAAGCCCAAAATATTGTTGTCAACGAATTAGAAATAGGACTTCTGTTCCCCCTAAAAAGCATAGACATTCCTGGCTGGCATGGCTCAGAGGTCGAGCATCGACCTAGGATCCAGGTGATCAGGGTTCGATTCCTGGTCAGGGCACAGGCCCGGGTTGTGGGCTTGATCCCCAGTAGGGGGCGTGCAGGAGGCAGCCGATCAGTGACTCTCTCTCATCACTGATGTTTCTGTCTCTCTCTCCCTCTCCCTTCCTCTCTCTGAAATCAATAAAAACTTTTTGTTTTTTAAAGCAACAGACATTAAGGAAAAAAAATTCTAGAATTGGTAAAACATAAAAATCATTCAAAGCACAGTATCTGAAGCAATGCACATTTAAACAATGAACTCTTCCCCACTCGCCCCCCAGCCTATAAATTCAAAAGGCCCCTGCCTCGTATTAGACTTGGTGTGGAGAAGGTCGGAGCATCATACTCTGTGGGTGAAATACTAAATTCTTCTTAGAGGAAAATAGATTTCAAATGCCTTTCAAATGTATATGCCCTTGTCCCCAGCTGTTACAGTTATTAAAATTAATTCTAAGTAAGAACTGGACAGGTGTGCACAGGTTTTTACAGGGCTCTTTGTTACAGTATCGCATAAAATGGAAATTGGAACAGGCCTGGAAGCCCAGTGGTCGCGGAGGGGCAAATAAGCCCTCACACCTTCGCAGAGCGAGCTCCCGAACAGGTTTAAACAAGCTGTTCTAGTTGGACACGGGCCGCTTGGAAAATGTCTTGTGATATATTAAGTGCCAAAAACAAATTCCAAAACAGTGTGTACATCACGATCGCGTTTCCCCCTTTGTTTTATTTTTCACACTTGTGTGTGCTCATAGATAAAAGTAGAAGAGGCTATTTGTTAGAGGTGAGAGTCCGTGGTTATATCTGAGCAGCGTTACGGATTCTGTCTCATTTCGCTTGTGGTATGCTTACGGGGGAGAGAGAGGGAGATAACTAAAAGCAAGGATTTTTAAATGTTAGCATATTTTGATAGGATATAGCCTTAATTGACTAGTGATGAAAATTTAAATGGCTAAGGATTTATTGGACAAAAAGCCCTTGGAAAGCCCTTATCGCCAAAACAAAACCCATAGGTGCTAAAACGAGGGAAGCCAAATTAAAATTTTAACACATAAAAGGTGACTAATGGATTGAAATTCTTCCAGATCGAGGCAAAGGCCCAAATTCTCCTCAGCACAGAGGTGGGAAGCTGAGCCGATGAGCAGATTGCAGAATGGGAAATCCTTCCAAGTGGTTGTTTCTACCGACTTCTTTGCCATTTTCTGTCCCATAGCTTTGATCAAAAAGGGCATTAGATGCCCTTCAATTAAACCTCTCTTCAGACATTTTATTAAAAAAAATAATCCCTGGAGAATTATTATTCAAATCTATGAACTACCCAATGAGAGACCAGCAGGCCTTGGGTTTATAATGGTCAGAAGGGCTTCATCTGTCATTTCATGGCCAAGGATTTCCAGGTCGAAGCAAATGCTATCCCATCTCTTCTCTAAGGCCTTCGACCCACCAGCCCTGTCTGCTGAGGCCGCTGCTTCGTACACTCTTTCTCAACATAATAGAACAAGTGATAGGAATTAATCCCCCGACTGCCGACCTGCCCTAACTCTCACGAGCCTACTGACCACTCCGTCTTTGAGGGGACCCTGACCCTGAAGCTCTTCTTGTGCATCAGACGGTCAACAGAGAATAGAGTTTAAGACCGTAGATGAGAGAACAAGGCAGATCTGACACAACGTGGCCACTTTGGAGCTTTGAGTCCTTGAGTGACCTTCTAAATTTTTCTAAGCCTCAGTTTTCTCATCTGTACAATGGCTGTAGTGATTACAATGCCTCCCAGGCCGGGTCATTGTGAGAACCATGCGATTGACATATATGCAAGGCATATGGTAGACTACCTACTACATAGCCTTCAATAAAAGAGTAACTTTTATTTTATTAGCAGTATTATTTCTCTAAATCCCCATCACATATTTTGTTTAATAATTTTAACTGCTATTCATTCTATTTGAAATTTCCGGAAAAGTTGTTACTCTAAAACACAGACATGTATATAAACTTGAGTGCCTCCTCTTGTACCAACTGCTTTAAAAAAATAAATAAGGTCATTACAGCCACAATTAAACTCACTTGGATATAATGCTCCAATGACTCCTTCTATGAAACTGTTAGGAAATTTTAATATTTTCATGCTCATGGACCCCCATCTAACTCTGTAACTTGCTCTGAAAATCACAATGAACTTGCCCTTTGTTCTGTATGTCTTGCAGTGGCATTTAGACAGAAGCAATGAAATCTGACCTGACCTGGTAATAAATGCGGTGTAGTTGACTTACGTGAAAAATTATTAATTCCAGCTTCCAACCACCTGAGACAAGGCCCTGGGGACCCTTAACGTGAGCTCCAAAGCAAAGCGTTTCGTGGGACAAGCACAGGACTTAAAACCACATTTCGAGTGGACTCATCCCTTCCAACTAGTTGACTTATTAGCTAGGTTAATATATCCGTGTCTCTCTGCCTTTGTATATTTCCTCCAATAGATAGTGGTATGGACTGAACAGCGAGAGAAATTAAAGAGCAAAGGGCCTAGAGATTCCTCCCATAAACATCTTTTCTATGGGAAACAAGATAAGACTTTCCAAAACAGCTTATGTAATTTTTGTGTATCTTCAAACATTTTCTTTCTTTCCTTTTTTTTAAATGTATCTTTATTGATTTCAGAGAGAAGGAGGGAGAGGGAGGGAGAGAGATAGAAACATCAATGATGAGAGTCATTGATCGGCCGCCTCCTGCACGCCCCCTACTGGGGATTGAGCCCACAATCCGGGCCTGTGCCCTGACCAGGAATCGGACCCTGATCTCCTGGATCATTGGTCAATGCTCAACCCCTGAGCCACACCAACTGGGTTTCAGACATTTTACTTCTGTAGCCATTTGATTGCACCTCGGAAGACAGCCTCTTTTAATTAGGCATTATACAGCCTGTGGGGGGAGCATAGAGTCTCTCTATTAAGAAAAACCCGGTTGGAAATGAGCTGCCAGCTGCTCTTGGTGCCTCGGCTCCTCCCACAGTTGTTCGAGGTAGAGGGTCCTGGGTCTGAGCTGCTTGCTTCTGTCGTTCCCAGGTGGCGCTGGAGGCCAGCAGGGCTTCCTGGGCTGCATCCGCTCCCTGAGGATGAACGGGGTGACCCTGGACCTAGAGGAGAGAGCGAAGGTCACTTCGGGGTTCAAGTCTGGGTGCTCAGGCCACTGCACCAGTTATGGGGCCAACTGTGAGAACGGAGGCAAATGCATAGAGAAATACCACGGCTACTCCTGTGACTGCTCGCACACGGCCTACGACGGAACCTTCTGCAACAAAGGTAAGGCGAGCCCGCGCCCAGTCCTGCTCACGCAGCTCTCTGAGCCTGAACCGTCCACGCAGTGATTTCTCAGCTGCACACAAGCGCCTTTGTTCTGAGGGGAAGGTGTTCAGAATTGTGCCCCCACTCAGCTAGGGCGTCTCCCTCAGTCCCTGATCTGTTGTTTAATAAGATGAGATGAGAGAAACTCTGCCCAGCCGGCGTGGCTCAGTGGCTCTGAATGCCGTGGCCCCGATTAAATCCCGGTCTGTGTCGTGGAATCGCCATGAACTTTTTGGCCTGGAACACCATTAATGCAGTAGGCACCCTTGAGGTTAAATCAGGGTGAGTTCAGAAGCATCCTGTGGGGTTATTATTGAGGTCCCTAGAAAATCGTATTGGTTCCTCGAATACTTATAGTGTTTCAAGAAATAAAAAGGAAGTGCTCTATTCGAGAAACCACATCTGTAATCTGTAATTTTCCCCCTTTCCCAAGGGGTTAACAGTCTCTCTGCCCCTCCTGCCGCCTTATTAAGGATTAAGTCAGTTCTGATTAATGGAGTTCTGGTGTTTCTCATGTTTATTCTGAAGTTAACCCAAATATTTGCACAAGTCCATTGCTAGTCATGTCCTAGTTTTCAGAACCAGGGATTAGTAAGGTTGTAAGTAAAATGCTTCCTAAAACTTTACTAATCGAAGTAATCTAATTTAAATCCTTTTTATGTAGGTCTGTTTTAGCCTATTGCCTTCAATAAATCCTTAATAAATGTCTCTTAAAATGGAACCTTATGAATTCAGTTAAAACTATAAATTAAGTCCTATAAATCAAATTAAAACAGTAAACCAAGTTGTAAATCTCAAGCAAGTTTCCAGCCCCCCCCCCTCCTGTTAAAGAAGGGAAAATGTTATCTCGTGTGACTTTACAAAGTGTCCTACAGCATCATAAACCACATGTGGCTATTATAACACTTCATAACGTCTTAAAAAACGTCAAGGACTATTTCAAGCAGTTTTATTTCTTTTCCTATAATGAATGTGTCATTGTTCAGACTTTCAGCTTTTGCCCTAACATTCAAATGTCACTGGATTACTTATTTCAGCAACTCTTCAATTGCTCTTAAATTGTTAAGAGTTCATGAAGCTCTTTTTGTCAGAAAATCAAAGTATCTTGTGGTTGAAATGATATTACGTTGTATCTAACTGACATTTTACTGAACATCTCCTTTTATGCAAGGCACTGAATTAAGTATATTCACAATATCTTACTTTACTTATTCATCACAGAAATTTTGAGATGCAGGTTTAGTACTATGATTTTTGAAATTTAAGAAACTGAGGCTTCTAGAGGTTAAGTTTATTATCTAAAGTCATATGGCTAATCAATGACAGATTGGTAGTGGAACCTTAGGGCCCAGATTTCAAGACTAATGTTTTCTCCACCATGTACACACCAGCATGGTGTTCTTTTCACAACACAGTCACTGGGTGGGAGCCAAGCTGTGCTTAATAGAGGACTTGGGAGCACATGGGCAGCTTGCTCCAGATTTGGATGTTTCTGACAACTAGAGAGTTTCTCTTATTTTTTACCTTCATCTCCATTAAAGATGGAAAATGTCTTCATGAAAAAACAGTGGATGTCAGGCTCTGGGTTTAAATCCCTGTATCTTTAAGAACTCAGGAACATCTGTAACCAGAACCCAAGTTCGGCTGCCTGCCACCACAAAAACCAAACTCATGAGACAGATGGTGGTGAAAAAGGAAAGTGGTTTATTCAAGTGCTGGTCACCTGAGATGGGATACTATTGTCACAAAGCCCATCTCCACATCTCACTGCAGACAGAAGTTTTTATAAGGAAGGAGAGGGAAAACAGAACAAAGAAATCAAGGGGAGGGTGTTGAAAAGTTCTCTATGTGCAGTCCAGGCACAGTCCATTCTGATAAGGAATGCACTTAAAGACTAGCCACCTTCAACCCAAAATGACTTTGAGCTGTATGACTGTTCACCCTCTTTCCTGTGGCCTGATATTCTACTGGCATCATTGGAGTGAGCAGGAGCGGGTCTGGGAACAGAGCAAGACTCACCTAAATGTACATTGAGTGATGGAGTGATTGAGGTTGAGTCTTCACAGAGCCACATGTAATTTAGGAGAGAGGAAAGCACTGGACAAGCTTCAAGGAGGTGGTTACAGTGGCTTCTGTGAGGACAGAGAGTTGAGGAGCTTTAGAAGAGGCTGGAAGGGCACCCTAGGGGAGACAGTCCAAGCTGATTCTCTTCTTTCATGACCTGCCCGAGGTCAGCCCTGCACCGGCCGAAAGAGAGAAAACTTACCCTCACTCCTGCTGCTAAGATCCAGAATTCAGGCTAATTGTATTAGTGCTGTAACTTAGTTACATTACCAAATAAATAATCTTTAGTCATTGATTCTTGTTAGAATATTGTACTGTAGGAAAATGTATTCTGAGTTCCTGAAATCACTGTATACTATTGTAATTACTATGGATCATTCTGTACATAGTATTAGCATATATAACATAAACATTTTCCTTGAAACCCCTTGGTCTTGATGCCCATCATTTAAAGAGACTGCTTAAAATTCCATCCAGTGGATTTACCAAAATTTATTTAACCTAAGTGGCACACAAGAGGGAAATGGCAATTTCTATTCCTGTTCTTGAAATTGATTCCAATTTTTTATTGTAAATAACACTGCAGTAAATGTTTCTGTAAATGGCATTTCAATATTTTACATGATTGACTTGGGCCGGATTGCCTATGTGGAGAGGAGAGTTAAAGGGTGTAAATGTTGATGGTTTCTCATACGTGGAGCCAACCTGATTCCCCAAAACAAAGCACCCGCATCCCTACTCTGCGTGAGGAGGCCAGTATCTCAAATCACCACCAACAGTGTTTTTCCTTTTCGTCATTGTTGTGAATGAGCCAGTTGTGAATGGTTCTTTATCAGTTAATTTGCTCTTCTTTAATTACTGAAGAACAAAGAATTCCAAAGTGACGTCTGGCGAGATTGATGTGTCTGAGAAAGGCCTGCTCAAGGGCGGCTGAGAGCCAGTTTGTAAGAGTAAAATCACCTTCAGGTTCAAAAGTTCTGCTTGCTGAGGTCCCAGGGTGGGCAGGAGTGGGGATTCTGACCCTGAAAAAGTCCAGGATCAGGGCTCAGGGGAGAGAATCAGGGACACCCCTGCTAGAGCTGGGACCCTCTCGAGACTGTGCGTCCCTAACTCCGTGAATGCACGTTCCTAATAGAAAAAATGTTAGGTATGAGTCCCGATTTATAGGCCTTCGTTTATATATTCATTTATAAATTTTGTACACATGCCACTGAATTAATGTGCATCATACAATAAGCACAAAAGGAAAAATTATCCTCTTACACCAAAAACTTACCATAAATCCACTTCAAATAGCACGCACAGGTACTAGCACTGGGTGTGCGTCTCCCTAACCAAAAACATACTTTTTTAATAATTTAGGTCTAGTTTTATTTTAAAGTTCATCGGAATTTCTTGGTCTAGAACCCAGTTTTCCTATAATTATTTCCTAAATGTTTAAGATCATTTATCCACCTGTGGGTGATTTTTTGGAAAAAAATGCAATGCAAGACCTTTGGTGTATTATATATAATTCAAGAATTACATAGTAAACCAAAAACAAAATAAAGAGCCTTTTAAAAGCCTGCAGCAATACCAAAAAAAGGCCGCCCAACCAAAAACTTCTCCCTAGAACAATTCTTTTAAATCCCAGAAACAAAGCCAAAATGTCAGTCCGTTCTTTTTAACATTTTTCTCGGCAAAACAACAATCAACTGAAGAATAAAGCATGGGGGTTCTAACCTACTGGCAGGGACAGACCGTGTCTCATTCGCGGCAAAGATTTATGGTTCTGATCATAACAATATCGCACGCACGCAAAATGAATAATTAAATTCAAAGGAAGCACGTCGGCAATGCTGACGGGCTTGAGCCCTCCGACGGGTCCTTGTACCCCATCGGCCCGTGATTGTCCCATTGTTGAAGCCACTGCCTTTTGAAACCAAAGCCGATGGCAAGAGGGGGAGCTTAGCAAAGCAGCTCCAGCTCCTCACCTGAAACGCTCATTTAAAACTAGGATTTGTTGGGGGGGGTTCATCTTTAGAACTTAAATTGCACAAGGTAAATTTTAAATACTTTCTGTATATAATTATGATATTGTCCCACAGACATTACACATTTATGCACCAGAAGCCTTAAAAATCTTCCTGCGAAAATGTTGATACATTGTGGCAATTACTTCATATTTAATATGTAGAGGAATAGGGGTCGGTTTGTGTCCATATAGGAAAACTTTGAAGGCTGCTCGGAGGTTCCGGACTTCTTGGGTTCAACTAGCAGAAAACGATAAAGTCGTTGTGGAGTTCAGATGCTAACGTTGTAAATAATAATATATATTTACGTTACAGCCAAAACTGCTGAGCAAAACCAGAGCCTAATTTGTTGGCTTCCGCGCGTCCTGGGGCCTGAGCGCGTTGATATCTTATTCCTGCTTTAAGAATTTAACCGCTCGCTGTTCTAAAAGCTTTGTCAGACAGGCCCACGTGAAGCTGGTTTTCACTAATGCTGCTGAGATACCTGGCTCTTTGGAAAATGTATTGATTTTCCCCCGTGTTTAATAAAAGCAAGTTACATATTTAAAACAAAACAAAACTAGGGTTCCTATCAGCCGTGTCTCGACGGTTCCCCTCCATCCTGCACGGCGGAGGTTGGTTCTTCCAGCTCCACTTGTGTGGGTACCACTTGGTTCCCCCTGAAGCCCTGGGAAGGTTAGAGGGTTATTTCCAGCCGGAGCCACGGGACCCTGAACCCACACAAACCTCCACCTGGCAGAAACTGGGAAAGGGGTGCTTACCTTCCGCAGCGAGGGAACAGCAGCAAGGCGGCCAACAGGGCCGATGGTGGGTGGGGTGCAAACAGGTTGACCCAAGTGACCGCAGACGAGCCACTTGCCTTCTCTGAGTCTCTGTCCCCTC